CCTAGCTTCTGTTTGCCAGAAGCTCGGAATGAGCAACAGGGGATGGATCACTTGATGATTACCTGTTCTGTTCATTCCCTTTAGGGCACTGGTCACTGTCGGAAGACAGGATACTGGGCTAGATGGACCTTTAGTCTGACCCAGTAGGGCCATTCTTATGTTATGTTCTTATGACTTGCGAGTTTGTTTTATTTTGCTTTTGTGACTTACTTTGTTGTGTCTGTTATTACTTGAAACCACTTAAATACTAATTTTTATACTTAATAAAATCACTTTTGTTTATTAATAAACCCAGAGTAAGTGATTAATGGCGGGGAGCGAGCAAGCAGCTGTGCATATCTCTCTATCAGTGTTATAGAGGGCGGACTATTTATGAGTTTACCCTGTACAAGCTTTATGCAAAGTAAAACAAATTTATTTGGGGTTTGGATCCCATTAGGAACTGGGTGTCTGGGTGCTGGAGACAAATAACTTACAGAGCTGTTTTCAGTTAAGTCTGCAGCTTTGGGGGCATGGACCGGACCCTGGGTCTTTGTTGTTGAGCCAGATATGCTAGCTTGCTGCAAGACAGGGTTTCGGAAGTCCCAAGATAGCAGGGAAAATGGGCTCAGAGGTAATTTCAGCACATCATGTGACAGTCCCAAGGGGATCTCTGTGACCGAACCAGTCAGAAACATCTGGACTCATTTGATGAGAATGACCTGAAATGTGTCAACTCTTGAACTCCTAGGAAGCCTAGGAGCTAGGAAGGCTACATATCCAGTGAGCAAAACAGATGATCCAGCTCAAACTTTGAAAAATGAAAATCTAGTGCGGGGAAAAGGAAGTGGTGGAGTTACAACTGGCAGCAGACCAGACACCAAAAGCTTTTTTTCTGGCCTTTGTGCTATCTATGGCCACAGGTTCAATGGGATACCCCTCTATGCACACTGGACAACAATCAACGCTTAACTGGAAAAAAAAAGAAAAAAGAAATACTTTCCCAATGATGGAACATTTCCGTTAACTTCTTAATCACAATTCCAATATTTCTTCCACAACACCCATTAAAAAGAAGAACTTGCAGTAGCACCATCTTATGAGACCCTAAGAGCAATCAAGCAGATGTCAAAAAGGAAAGCATATGGACAGGATGACATTTCAGCAAAGATACATATGCAGGGTGGGTATCACATTGCAAGGCACCTCACATGGCTCTTGCATTATCTGCGACCAGAAGTCAGTGCCACAGATTCAAGGATGCCAACCGTGTCCATCTCTATAAACATAACAGTGATAGGGCAAACTGTGATAAGCACAGATTTCTCTACTCTCTCTTGCTGGGAGAATTGTTGCACAGGTCATATTGAATAGACTTACCTCCCATCTTATGGAAGCCATCGTCCCCAAGTCTCTGTGGATTTCAGTCAGGAAAGGGCACTTTAGACACAATCTTCACAGCCCATCAGCTTCAGGAAAAGTACTGGGTGCAAAACCATGGTCTTTATATTGTTTGTCAACCTAGCTAAAGCTTTTGGTGCTGTACATCGTAAGGGACTCTGGAAACTTTTGTTCATCTTTGGATGCCCTGCAAAGTTTATTTCTATAATTTGGACCTTCTATGATGGGATGATAGCCAGACTGGTGGAAAATGCTGAAATAAAGAACTCCTTTATGGTCACCAATGTTACCACACAAGATTGCATGCTGGCTCCCATGCTCTTTTCCATCCTTTTTTCAGCTACGCTTAGGGATGCATTTCATGACATTGACAGAGGAGTATTTATCCAGTTCCACACCGATGGGAAGTTGTCCAATCTTCAGTGCTTCTGTGCTCATGCAAAAGTACCAGATTTACTCAAAAAGGAGCACTGAATATTCAAATACATTAAATGTGGGGTATGGGTCTATTTTCATATTGCAAGTTTTCATTTAAATACACCTGCTTCAAAATGGGTCAAAATTCCAGTTTGTTAAATTAGTTTTGCTTTAAGCTTTTAAATAAATATAATGAATAGAAATGGAAAGGATATTGTGTCTGTCTACATACCTCCACAGGTAGCTGCATTCCAACAGTACAGCTGGTATCCCACAGTCCTCTTGTTTACCAGAAATGATCTCAATGCAGTTCTTGAGTTATAACAGTAAACCTTTTTGTTTGAACTATCCCAGTCTTCATTTTGTACCTTTTCCCATCAACATTTGTTATGGGTGGTTAAAACATTTTATAAACTTTTATCCACTTCGCTACAGTTGAACTCACTAACTGGAACCTAACAATCTACCCCAATTCTACAACAGGGCTTATGTGCTTAAGTGCTTTACTGAATCTAGACTTAAATCTTGATTAGTTGGTGAGACTGCAATATTGAAAATAATATTGAGTTATAGCTAGTGTGGGTAGCAGAGTTATTTTGAAGTTAACTAAAGCACATCATTTGCAACTAAAAAGGTTTCTCCTCTAAATATGCCAGGTTGAGTACAGAAGAATCCATCTTAACTAGAGCTATTAGAGAAATAATTGAATACTTCAGGGGATTGATAATGAGATATAAAGCCTTTCATGTCTAAGTCATCAGTTCAAATCAAGACCAGCTGGCAATGAAAAAGCTATTATCTGATGGCTGTTCGGGGTTATATCTCTGTGAACTGAATCTGGCTGTCCCAGACTAGTTCTTTGTAGATTGGTTTGGCTTAGAGTCACTCACTCAGTTGATGATTTTTTAATGAGATTATAAGTTTGGTTGATAAAGGTAATAGTGTTGATGTAGTGTACTTAGATTTCTGTAAGGCATTCGACTTGGCACTTCATGACATTTTGATTTTAAAAAAATTAGAATGATATAAAATTAATATGACTCACACTAACCATTTTCATGTGCTTTCAATAAATATCACTAGTAAATCTCCATATCACATTAAGATACCGTAGCTATTCATATTGGCAGATTATTGTGGTGCAAGTCTTACCACACAGACCAATAATTACAACCCCCCACAGACCAATAATTACAACACAGAATAGACAGATTAGATTACCGGGTTCTGACAGAGTTACGAATATTAATTTTATGGCGGTCGATTACTCACAGTTAACTCACACGATTAACTAAAAAAATTAATCGCGATTAATTGCAGTTTTAATCGCATTGTTAAACAATAGAATACCAATTGAAATTCATTAAATATTTTTGGATGTTTTTTACATTTTTGTATATATTGATTTCAATTACAACACAGACTACAAAAGGTACACTGCTCACTTTATATTATTTTTTATTACAACTAATGATAAAGAAAAGAAACAGTATTTTTCAATTCACCACACACAAGTCCTGTAGTGTAATCTCTTTATTGTGAAAGTGAAATTTAAAAATGTAGTTTCCTTTTTACATAACCGCACTCAAAAACTAAACAATGCAAAACTTTAGAGCCCACAAGTCCACTCAGTTCTACTTCTTGTTCAGCCAATTGCTAAGACAAACAAGTTTGTTTACATTTACAGGAGATACTGCTGCCCACTTCTTCTTATTTACAAGATCCCCAGAAAAGTGAGAACAGGCGTTTGCATGGCACTTTTGTAGCAGGCATTGCAAGGTATTTACGTGCCATATATGCTAAACTTTGCATGCCCCTTCATGCTTTGGCTACTATTCCAGAGGACATGCTTCCATGCTGAGGACGCTTGTTTAAAAAAAAAAAAAATTAAATTTGTGACTGAACTCCTTGGGGGAGAATTGTATGTCTCTGGCTCTATTTTATCTGCATTCTGATATATATTTCATATTACAGTAGTCTTGGATGATGGCTCAGCACATGTTGTTCATTTTAAGAACACTTTCACTGCAGATTTGACAAAGGGAAAGAAGGTACCAATGGGAGATTTCTAAAGATAGCTACAACACTCGACCCAAGTTTTAAAAATCAGAAATGCCTTCCAAAATCTGAGCGGGACCGTGTGGAGCATGCTTTCAGAAGTTTTAAAAGAGCAACACTCCGATGCGGAAACTACAGAACCTGAACCATCAAAAAAAAAACCAACCAACCAAAAAACAACCTTCTGCTGGTGGAATCTGACTCAGAAGATGAAAATGAACATGAGTCGGTCCGCACTGCTTTAGATTGTTATTGAGCAGAACCTGTCATCAGCATGGATGCATGTGCTCTGGAATGGTGGTTGAAGCATGAAGGGACATATGAATTTTCAGCTTATCTGGCATGTAAATATCTTGCAACGCCAGCTACAACAGTGCCATGAGAACACATTATCACTTTCAGCTGACACTGTGAACAAGAAGTGGGCAGCATTATCTCCTTCAAATGTAAACAGGCCCTTTCGATGCTGATTCCCAGTTTACAATTACATTTCAAGATCTATCAGTTAGCCATCCTTTAATCTATGTAATGTGAGCCATATTAATTTTATATCATTCTAATTTTTTTAAAATCAAAATGTCATGAAGTGCCAAGTCAAACGCCTCACAGAAATCTAAGTACACTACATCAACACTATTACCTTTATCAACCAAACTTGTAATCTCATTAAAAACTCATCAACTGAGTTTCCATAAACCCATCTTTTTTCATAAACCCATGTTGATTGACATTAGTTATATGACCTTCCTTTAAACTCTTTACTTACTGAGTTCTATATCAGCCACTCCATTATCTTGGAATATTTTAAAGAAAGGATTACAGGATTAAATGAAGGCTTCTTGCTCTACCATTTTTGGGTGGCTTTGAATACCAAGGACCAGATCTTCGGCAGGTGGAAGTCAGAGTAGCTTCACTGATGTCAATGTAGCTATACTGACTTACATTAGCTGAGAAAGTGGCCCCTGGAGCCAGATTTTCCACTGTTACACCAGCTTTACGTCAGTGTGACTGCATTTGTTAGAGAAGCTAATGGAACAATTATCAGTCATAACTGGTTGACTAGAATGGCCATAACACTACCATATTTCTCAGGATCCTATCAAAGACAACTTTAAAACCTACTTAAATGAAGTGTCATACAAATGTTAGGAATATTGTAAACATTTTATTGGTGCACTTAGGCAGTTTTAAATAATGTTTACATACAATAACTCACATTCATTTAGTCAAATATTTCAAACAAAAAAACCCAAAAGAAAACAAGAGGCAGTAGTTTGGCACAGAGCTTTTTCAAGATAGGGAAAGAAACTCAACTAAACTACACAAAATCTAGCCATACTACAGAATTCACACATACATAAGATGATGTTGTTTATATGGACTTAAAATATTACACTGGCAAAAATAAGTGAACGTATTCCAGATTGGTACAGAAAAGTATACAATACATATACACAAATAGGGAATTAAAATAAGCAGAAAATACCCTGTTTTAAAAGGGAATCTCCTTTCCAAATAGTTTTGAATTTTAGTGCACACCCCTCTGAATTTAGAGTATTTCTGTATGTACAAAGAGGTACAACAAATTGTTATAGTATTTATTGCAACAAACTAAGCATACCATAATATACACACTTTAAATACCCCCCTAACCCTGTTGATATATTGGCTTCTTATTCCTCCTGCATAACCTCCTCTTTCTGTTGATTTAAGATTAATTTCTCTCAATGAAAGGCACATACTTATCTGCAACAGAAGAAACAGAGGTGGTAATCTTTAAACATATACTTTTTAAACACCTTTAAAAACAAAAGAAATTAAAATATTTTTGCTCTGATTAAACCTGTCCAAAAACCCAATAACTTCTGGTACTGATAAAAGGAGTCTGCCTCATACATAAAATATCCTTCCATCGATCTGTTATACTGTATAATGATGGAATAGTGCATTTTGAAGGATGATTTCTCCATGCTAGGTTTATCTTTACAAAAAGAATAATTTAAAGACTTAAGATTCTATAGTATGTACTGCAAAGTATGTATTTTATTTAGGAACCAAGGATTTGTCAATCTGATTTCTTTTAAAACTAATATTGTGTTTCCACAATATTCAAATACACCAGGTCTGATCCCTTTCAATCCAAACATGTTCACTATTATGATCTACTGAAATGCCCTATTTCTAAGTAACAAAGGCTTTTGTGGTTTTTTCCCCTGATTCACAACTTCAGCAGTAAACTTCATGGCTGGCTAACGTCAGGATGTTTCACCTGCACAAAGTAGATGCTGCTTCTTGTAAATCTTGAAGAGGATACTTGAGGGCTATATTCTAACCTCTGGGACTTTTGCAAGTAATTTGAATGCCAACAAGTATTCTCTAATGCAGGTTGTCAGGTGTTTGTTTTACACGGTGTTTTGTTATTTTAGAGAACCAGTGTGGCAAGTCTTTCTGAAGAAGCAATTTATAGCTTTTTATCTTATCTTACAGAAGAGATAAAATACAAACACCTGTTTTTCCATGACATTTGTCTACAGCTATCAAAGTATCCCACAGCTGATTGTTATCGGGAACTTGGTTTCAGTTTTCAGTGCTGTTGGTTGTCTACTTACAAGTATGTCAAATTGCAGTTCCAAATCATCCTGTACTAACTCTACTGGCTCAACCATTTGTTTCACGACACAGTTCCAAATTGCCCTCCTTGTTTATAAAGCCCTCAATAGAGGAACTCCAGCCGACCTCACATATCTTTTCTTTAGTCCCCTTCTACCTAGCACCAGACTCCCCATGGTTATTTCACACGAATTTGACATAGTGCAAGCACATAAACCTTTGTAGCTCCTCCCAGCTAGAAAAACCTGTATGCAATCTTAGCCTCAGGAACACCATTTATTTTCAAAAAGTTATTCTTTCGTATTTCTCTTGCTCACTTCCATTTTTTAAATTTTAAAATTAGGCAACTACTTCACTCCAAATTGTTTTTGAATAGTTAACAGATACTATACAAATTGAAATCATATGTCAGTCACTAGATTCTTGCAATATTGAAGTACACCTACATACATTATAGCCAGTCATCCTTAAATAGGAAATTTTGTTTTTGTGTTACAATTTTAATTTCACTGTAGCATGTAGTAATTTGTTTTTACCTAAACAATAAAAAAAATAAATGAATCAGTCTGTAGAACAGAAAAGGGTTTATCAGTTTTAAAAATAATAAAAAAAAGGTTTTCCTGTATAATCTGGGTTGGAGTTGCAGCAGATTTCTAGGATAAAGATTTTGTGCACATCAACACCACCAATGATAAAAAAAACCTTTGGAAGTAAAATTATACCAGTCAGCCAGATGTTCAGATGCACTAGGTGCCTTCTCTACAGGCAACTGCAAGATTCTCCTCCATCCCTAAATCAACTCTCTAGGCCTTTAAATCTTTACCTGTCATTCCTTTAAGAATAATACAGATCCCGATAACCATTAAAACATACTGGTTGAAAAGTGATGAGTTTCAAAAGATTTAATTACACCAGTGCTTGCCATGAACCTACCAAAAGTCCAACCAGAGTCAACACGCTCCTAATCATGAAGATGTACTTTTTAAGCATCCTACACCCAGGTTTCAAATTTCTGCACTAATCCTCCAAACAATGCCACTGAGCAGCAATACTCAGTAAATACTGTGTGTAAATGGGAATGTTAACTTAGCAGCAACTGTTTGAAATGTTATTCTCTACAGGTAACTCAAATGGACTACCTGAACAAGCAATGGAGGAAAACACTGGAAGACAAAAAAAAGGGGGGGGTGGGGTGGGAGGGAAGAAAGAGGGGTCCTAATAAGCTGCTGAATCAACCTCTTGCAAAGGCTGAGAGTTTCTCTACAAGATTAAATAAATTGTGCAATATGAGAGAATGTAGCAAGCCTCTGATTTACATAGATTTTCAAGATTAATTTCTTCTTATATTATGGACTGGATGAAATTGGAAGCCCCTGGAAGCCATTTGCCCTAGCTTTTCATCCTGAGATGGTGGCTCAAGACACTTGAATAATGAATTAGGACTTTGTAGCTCTTTCCTTTGCAAGACAAAAAAGAACAAGTTCAATTCTCTGCAACACTTTTACCTTAATATTTCTTAAATATGAATGTTTAGCAGGCTATTCTCTTCTGGAGACATTTATGCTATGTCTGTGCTGTGTACATAGTACAACTATAATTTTCTAAATTGGTTAACTGAAACTCTAGGTAAGTGATACTCAGACTGAGGCTTGTGAGCCGCAAGTGGCTCTTTAATGTGCTAAAAAAAAAATGCCAGAGACACATAATATTAAAACAATGTTTGATTTAATTATTAACCAATTTAAGTTATTAACCAATCAGGATCCTTTTCTATGTTATTAACCAAGTATAGTTGATAAAATAATAACACTTGGTCAGTCATTGTGCTGTGAGAATAATATAGATAGAGAGAAGTAAATGAAACAATTCACACTACCGTGGCTCTTTTGGGGAATGTTGATAGCTAATTTGGCTCTTAAGTCTGAGTATCACTGCTCTCTGTTAACTTAAGTTTGGTTAGTTTGTCCAGAGTTACTCTGTCTCAAATCACTATTCTTGCAGAACTCAGATTCTGCAAGCTAGTAAACTGTTGAGGTTTCAGTCTTGTGGAGTACAGCAACTCTACAGAGCAAATATTAAGCTGCAGTCTCCTCTTATAAAAGTGGAAGCAAACACAAGTGATTTTCAAAACAGAGCATGAGCATATCATCACCATGCTAGTATATTATACAGCAAGTATAGGATGGGTCAAAATCCCTTAATCCACGTAATAATAAGAACAAGAATATTTAAAAAGACTGAAGACAGACAAAACTGAAAAGAAATTTTGCTTTGGGCTTTGCAAGGACACCATTAGTAACACATGAAAATAGATTTTTAAAAATAAAATGCTTTTCTATCTAGGTTCTGATACTGTTCCCATCACTGTGGCACCTAAAGCACCTCAAACTGATTTCTTAGTGTGTATCACTTTCCATTGCATTGCTAGTATGGTGCTATAATCACTTTTACCATGGAGAAGTCACATTTCGTTAAATTTTCTTATAAAAACGCCATCTCAAAGTAGTAGTGTGAATTTTACAATGGATAGTCTCTTCGTATCTAACAACTGCGTCAAGGAACAACTGTTATTCTCCGGTCCAGTACATGGTTGGTTCCCATAAGCACCACCATTTTCTTTAGTTTTCTTAGATTCAGAACAAAAAATGTCTGGTTCTATTTTCTGACTGAAGCATCTTATTAGAATCTTCAGCAGCAAGATGTGTTTCTTATTTACATTAATAGCTGCCAGAATGTATAGCGATATAAGCAGATAAATTAAATGTGGGTAACAGCTGTCATTCTAAAGACTACAAAATGTTTTTCAAATGAGCAATTTTAATTATTTATTTATTTTATAATTTAATAGTTTATCATCTCTGAACTGTTGGAAGGAAGGTTCCAGTTTCTAGCCACTGCATTGGCAACCTAAGTTCCAGAGGTATATTTTGAAGGGGAACAAATACGATTTACTGAATATCTCATTAAAACTGACTAGATCTTTGGTACGATCCCATTCAGATTTAATCAACTGTCAAATTTGTCCCTTTGGGTTTTATACTGTACAGCGATATATTTAGCCCTCAGGCCGCTAAGGATGCCCATATACACCCTTTATATCACACCTTTTTGGCTGGCAAAATGGAAAAACGAAGGCAGTCTTGATTTTCCAACACACTTGTGTCAGCAGTTCTCTTCTCCGTTTCCTCCTCATTTATTCTGTCAAGGGAGAAAGATACACTGCTCTACTGCAGATATTGCAATCTGCTTTGCACACTTAGATTGAGGTACTTCATGACAGGTTGCATAGCTAAGAGGATTTGTGGCAATTTAACTGCTTTTAATGAAGATGCTTTGCTGAAGACCACCGAAGTATATTATGTGAGAATCTCAGAAATGCCTAAGTCTAGAGAGAAATGATAGGAATACTATGCAAAATTAGATACCGTAGTATTAATTAGCTATCATATAATGGAATAATTTCCGAAATATAAACATACTGGTTTAGAAGACTTATGGTCTAAGTATTAACACTGGGCAATTTGATCCATAAAGACAGAAAAATATATGGAGCAGTCATAAAAATAGAGGCCTTTCTAAAGTCATAGCAGCAAAATAAATAAATAAAAAATACTGAATAGTTACAATGACTTTGAAACCAACCTAATAACTATCAAAAAGACAAGAAGAGAAAAGGTTTTTTAAAAAAAATAGGGCACAGAAGATGCTCTCTCAGTGCACAGTAAGCTTCAAGCTATGGATTTGATTTCTGGCATATTTGCAGAATGTGAATTAAGTTTAGAGAATGACATACAAAGGTAGAAAGTGGGATAGTGAGAACATCTGTTACATACACTGCAGTGTCAAAATCTAGAAAATCTAATATAATCTGCAAAAGGTTTTTCAGAGGAAAAAAATTAGACTGAGTCATATTATATTCTGCCAAAACAAAGAAAAATATATACAGGAAAGAGATGTGTATCTGTACTTTTGTTTTCCAAATGTAGCTCCTCCATGTGACAGATTGGAGTGGTCTACTGCATTAAATTCTACAAACAGTAATCTGCCTCACCACTAAGTGAGAGACAAGGTGGGTGAGGTAATATCTTTTAATGGACCTACTTCTGTTTGTGAGAAAGACGAGTTTTTGAACTTACACAGAGTTCTTCTCTATATGTTGAGCTTAGTATTTTAAAAACTGTCCTGTACCAGCTACACATTCCTTTTAGATCAGATACTCCAATTCTCAGCAGGTGAGATAACATTTAATCTCTGTATGAAGTGAACTTGAAAGCATCTCAGATTCCTCCTTGCTTTACACAAGACTCATTTACAGGAGTACAAAGTAACTTTACAGCCACAGATGCCAAGAATGGGTATTTGTATCTACATTTCTAAGCAGAGCTTAGACTCCTTGTACACTTTGTGACAGACCCAGACCAGTGGGGTACAGGAGTCTGCTAGAAGGCAAATATACTGGCCACTGGATGAATAGTTTTCTGTTCCCTGAGTGACCAGAGCAAGGGCTGTGCTAGAGCAATCAGGAACCTGCTAGAACCAATTAAGACAGGCAAGCTAATTCAGACACCTGGAGCCAATTAAGAACATACTAGAATCAATTATGACAGACTAATCAGGACACCTGGTTTAAAAAGGACCGCCCACCAGTTCGTGGAGCACGTGCAAGGAGCAGGGAGCGACAAGGTATGCTGCTGGAGGATTGAGGAGTACAAGTGTGATCAGGCTTCAGGAGGAAGATCCTGTGGTGAGGATAAAGAAGGTGCTGAGGGGAGGCCATAGGGAAGTAGTTCAGGGAGTTGTAGCTGTCACACAGCTGTTACAGGAGACAGACAGGGGCTATCCACAGGGCTCTGGGCTGGAACCCGGTATAGAGGGCGGGCCCGGGTTCCCCCAACTCCTGATCGGACACAGGAGGAGTTGACCTGGTCTGTGAGCAACACCAGAAGGGAAGGTCTAATTTGGAAAGGGATCTGGCCTGTCCCTGACCCACTACGTGGGGCAACAGAGACTGTGGAGATTGGCCAGCATGGGGGAAATGGAGAACAGTGATGAGGTTAGTTAAGTGTATGGCAGGTTTGAGGATCTAGTAGAAGTGGCTAAATGGAGGGCTGCCGTGAACCTCTGAGGTGAGCAAATCAGCCAAAAAGTGCAGGACCCACCAAGGTAGAGGAGGAACTTTGTCACAACTTGAAAAAAATTAAGTCATGCCAACTTGTTGGCATTTATTGGAAAGCCTATTGAAGTACCTGCCCTATCTCTAGCTACAAGGAGGGAAAATAAAGTCTTCACATAACCCCGAGCACTAGATTTAGGCACAGAATTGTGAACCACACATTTTTTCTACATAGAAGTGAGGAAGATTGTGGCACAAACACACAAAGGCAACAACATTAGATTTTTAATAATTGTGCCATTTTCCCATGGTATCTACCCTGATGAATTTTCAGTTAGGAACAGTTAGGTTCTTAAATATAGACTGAAGTGCCTATGTTTAGCATCTATAATGCACATTGAAGCCAAGACTGTAGATGTACACAACTTCTGAAAACTAAGCCACTTTAAAGAGTCCCTAAATTTAGACTCACATTTGTTGCATTTACGTGGTCCACCAGACTTTCTGAAAATCTGAATATAAGCTGAGAGTCCAGATAAAGTAACCATATGCAAAAGCCACTGACCACATGTAAAATTGTAATTTGTCACTTTGCTGAACAAGTGTGATGCTCCTCGCCTAACTACTTCATTTGAAAATTAGTATGTACAATAAGTGCTTTGCTTTTGAATATGTAGTGAAGTTGCTTGACCCCCATCATTCCTCCATCCTATAAGAGTGCACTGAACTTCTAAACACTAACCTTCGAGGATGATTGGCATCAAACAATGTTGTATCATCATCATCGTCATCTTGTTCTAATGGCGTCAACTCCATATTTTCTATGTTGGTGTCCAAAACTCCATACCTTCGGGTCTTTTTGTTTCTTTTTCTGAGGCTGAAATACAACGTTTTTAAAGTTTTAATCTTTAAATTGCTGAAATAGAAAGTTATAACTGTGAGATTACTGTATTAAAGAGAACAGTTTTAGTTCTTTAAATTATAGATCTGTATTTAAATTCTTCATATTTGCACATTTAATATATGCTAATCATTTAAAATATTTTCTTTATCTCAACAGAGTAAAAGTAAAATATCAAAGATTAACATTCCCCTGAGAGCCAAGTTTTCAAAACAGGAAGCCTAAAATACCACAAATATGTATAAATTTTTTGTGAATAATTACTTTAACAGTAGATCCAAGATAGGTAGTTGCAAACCCACATGTTTGAGTCACCTATCTACCTATGTGCAAATACCATCCATGATTTGCAGTAATTTCAGGGCAGGTCTACACTACGGCAGGGATCGACGCTCTGAGATTTATCTATTGGCGGTCGATTTAGCGGGTTTAAAGACCTGCCAAATCGACTGCAGATCACTCTCCAGTCGACCCCTGTACTCTACCCCGACGAGAACAGTAAGGTAAGTCTCCTGTCAACCCCCCTACGGCGAACATCCCGTGATAACTCGACCTAAGGTATGTCGACTCCAGCTACGTTATTCATACTGTGGTAGTGTAGACATAGCTATACATACAAATGTAGGTACGCAATTAAGAATGGACCTCTGGTTCTGAAAACTCTCTGGTCAAACTGGAAAATCCTGTTAACCTTTATGTCACATGCTGTACACTTCTATACTGAAGAATAGATGCACAATGCAGAGACAAGATATCTGACCAAAAAAGGGTCTAATGGAATTGTATCTTTAAAAAAAAAAAAAAAAGCAAAATGAGCAGAACTATGGATGCTGCAGTGTTTTCACTCACTATCTGCAACTAGACTAAGTAGTAAACACTACAACTCTTATTAGGCAACTATTTGTTACTGAGCCAAACTGTTACTAAGCCAAATGCCAGACAAAAGCACGTAGCTGAACATCTGCAAAGTATACCAATCACTCTTTATAGAAATAAGGGCTCATGATCACATACTTCATATCAATGGCATTGTCAAGGTTCCTTCCCCACTCTGAACTCTAGGCTAGAGATGTGGGGACCTGCATGAAAAACGCCCTGAGCTCATTTTTACCAGCTTAGGTTAAAACTTCCCCAGGGTACAAACTATTTTACCTTTTGTCGCTGGACTTTATTGCTGCCACCACCAAGCCTCTAACAAATATAACAGGGAAAGAACCCACTTGGAAACATCTTTCCCCCCAAAAATTCCTGGGGAAGGCTTGATAAAAATCCTCACCAATCTGCATAGGTGAACACAGACCCAAACCCTTGGATCTTAAGAACAATGAAAAAGCAATCAGGTTCTTAAAAGAAGAATTTTAATTGAAGAAAAAGTGAAAGAATCACCTCTGGAAAATCAGGATGGTAAATAACTTACAGGGTAATCAGACTCAAAACATAGAGAATCCCTCTAGGCTAAACCTTAAGTTACAAAAAGACACAAAAACAGGAATATAGATTCCATTCAGCACCACTTATTTTATCAGCCATTTAAACAAAACAGAATCTAACACATATCTAACTAGATTGCTTACTGACTTTTTACAGGAGTTCTGACCTGCATTCCTCCTCTGGCCCCAGGAAAAAACACAACACAGACAGAGAGAACCCTTTGTCCCCACACCCCCTCCCGCCTCCAGCTTTGAAAGTATCTTGTCTCTTCATTGGTCATTTTGGTCAGGTGCCAGCGAGGTTACCTTAGCTTCTTAACCCTTTACAAGTGAAAGGGTTTTTCCTCTGGCCAGGAGGGATTTAAAGGTCTTTACCCTTCCCTTTATATTTATGACACGCCCCCCAAATCACAGATAGGGTGAAACGCTAGCTGTGATTTCTTCCTGGAGCTCTAGGAGAAAACAGAGTTAAGACACATGCACCTCTAAATATACTATCAAGTATATAAAGACTAACAATATATATTCACATCTCAAGGACGATTTTAACCATTTGATTCTGGGAAACTTTCACAGGAGAGTGCATCAGCCACTTTGTTAGAAGCTCCTGAGATGTGTTGTATGTCAAAATCAAAATCTTGGAGAGCTAAACTCCACCAAATAAGTTTTTTGTTATTTCCCGAGACAGTATGAAGCCACTGTAGCACAACATGGTCGGTTTGCAGGTGGAAACGCCATCGCCAAGCGTATGGGCGTAGCTTTTCCAGAGCATAGACAATGGCATAACATTCTTTTTCACTGACTGACCAGTTGCTTTCCCTCTCAGACAGCTTCTTGCTGAGAAACACTACAGGGTGGAATTCTTGATCCAGTCCTTCCTGCATTAAAACTGCTCCCACACCATGCTCGGACACATCTGTGGTTACTAGGAACGGTTTGTTGAAGTCTGGGGCCCTTAGCACAGGGTCAGACAGGAGTGTCGCTTTAAGCTGGTTAAAGGCCTTCTGACACTCTTTGGTCCACTGAACGGCATTTGGCAGTTTCTTTTTGGTTAGGTCTGTCAGTGGGGCAGCAATTTTGCTGTATTGCGGTACAAATCGCCTGTAATATCCGGCCAAGCCTAAGAAGGATTGGACCTGTTTCTTTGACTTTGGGACAGGCAACTTTTGGATAGCATCCACTTTGGCCTGTAGGGGGTTGATAGTTCCTTGACCCACCTGGTGTCCAAGGTAAGTCACTCTGTTTAGGCCTATTTGACACTTCTTAGCCTTAACAATTAGTCCTGCCTCCCTTATGCACTCGAAGACTTTTTGTAGATGTTTCAGGTGTTCTGCCCAGGAATCCGAAAATACGGCCACATCGTCAAGGTAGGCAATTCCATATTCTCCCAATCCCGCTAGGAGACAATCTACAAGTCTTTGGAAGGTGGCGGGTGCATTCTGCAGCCCGAAAGGGAGTACATTAAATTCATACAGCCCAACATGTGTGGTGAAGGCTGACCTTTCCTTGGCGGATTCATCTGGCGGTACCTGCCAACACCCCTTGGTTAAGTCCAAGGTAGAGATGAACTGGGCCCGTCCCAGTTTTTCTAATAGTTCATCTGTGCATAGCTCTGGATAGTTGTCTGGGCGAGTTACAGCATTTCATTTATAGCAGTCCATGCAAAAACATATCTCCCCATCTGGTTTGGGAACTAGAACCACTGGAGATGCCCATGTACAGCCAGAGGGGCGGATTACCCCCATCTGTAGCATATCCTGGATCTCCCGTTCTATAGCAGTTTTAGCTTGAGGAGACACCCGGTAAGGCTGGACTTTAATTGGGTGAGCACTACCTATGTCAACAGAGTGGTATGCCCGTTCAGTCAATCCTGGGGTGGCTGAGAACGTCGGTGCATAGCCAGTGCACAGCTCCTTGATCTGCTGTCACTGCATACGTCCAAGGGTCATGGAGAGGTTCACCTCTTCCATGCCACCAGCCCTTTTCCCTTCATAGTAGACACCTTCAGGCCACTCAGCGTCATCTCCTCCCTGGGCTGTAAACTGACAAACCTTTAATTCTCTGGAATAAAAGGGCTTTAGAGAATTAATATGGTACACCTTAGGCTTTCGGTTGGAGGTGGGGAATGCTATGAGATAATTAACAGTTCCCAGGCGCTCCTGGACCTTCCCACGATGCTTCCATTTTATGGGCTTGGAGCGCCTTTAAGACCATGATCTGGTCCACTACTTTGAAGGAATGCTCTCTGGCATGTTTATCATACCAGGCTTTTTGCTCTTTTTGAACATCTTTTAGGTTTCCTTTAGCAAGGGCTAAAGAGGTTTGGAGGGTGTTTTGTAGGTTGGTTACAAAGTCCAGAATGTTAGTTCTTAGGGAAGGTGTAAACCCCTCCCATTGCTGCTTCACCAACTGCAATGGCCCCTTAACCTCAAGGCCATATGCAAGTTCAAATGGTGAAAACCCTAAACTGAGATGTGGTACAGCTCTGTAGGCAAAGAACAACTGCTGCAACACTAGGTCCCAATCACTGGAGTGCTCATTTACGAATTTATGTATCATGGCCCCCAAAGTCTCATTAAATTTCTCTACCAGGCCATTTGTTTGATGATGGTAAGGGGTGGCAACCAAGTGATTTACCCCACGAGCTTCCCAAAGGCTTTCCATAGTTCCTGCCAGGAAATTAGTTCCTGCATCTGTGAGGATGTCGGAGGGCCAACCTACCCTGGCAAAACTGTCTGCTAGTGCCTGGCACACATTTTGAGCCCTGGTGTTGCTTAGAGCTACTGCTTCTGGCCATCGGGTGGCAAAATCCATGAAAGTCAGTATGTACTGCTTTCCTCTGGGTGTCTTTTTCGGAAAAGGACCTGGAATATCCACAGCTACTCACAGAAATGGAACCTCAATGATGGGGAGTGGCTGGAGAGGGGCTTTGACCTGGTCTTGGGGTTTTTCCACTCTTTGGCATACCTCACAAGACCGGACATAGGTAGAGACATCCTTGCCCATTCCCTCCCCGTGGAATGACCTCCCCAAACGGTCTTTGGTCCTGCTCACCCCAGCATGGCCACTAGGATGACTGTGGGCTTAGCTCAAGAGCTTGGCCCGGTATTTAGTTGCAACTACCAACTGTCTCTGAGGATGCCAGTCTTCCTGGTGTCCACCAGAAAGAGTTTCCTTGTATAGAAGTCCTCTTTCTACAACAAACCTGGATTGATTAGAAGAGCTGAGAGGCGGTGGGTTGCTCCGTTCCGCCGTCCAAGCTCTCTGGAGGCTTTCATCTGCTTCCTGTTCGGTCTGGAACTGTTCCCTTGATGCTGGAGACATCAGTTCCTCATTGGATTATGGACCTAGGCTTGGTCCCTCTGGAAGCAATGTAGGGGATGGGGCTGTTTCTGTTGACTGGGAACCGCTCTCCGCTGGTGTACTATGTTGGGGTTCAGGCTCCGGCTGAGCCTCTTGTGTAGGGTTATGGGCTGCTGCGGGTTCAGGTTCGGTGGGGCCCTCTGGTGTTGGGGTTTCAAGTATGGAATTCAGTGCTGGCAATGG